CCAAACTGAAGTTGGGAGGCAGGAAATGATCTCTGTCTCTTTCTCGCCCCTGTAGTTTCCCATCTGCTTTTCCTATCTCTCTAAATTTTTAACAGGGTGAGCAGATGACTTTTCAGAAAATCTAATGAAAATGTCTCTTCAAAAGCTCTGCAGACCTTTCACTCATCTGCACCCATGCTCCCTGGAAGGACAGCTCTTCACTTTATGACCATGTATTGATCTCTAATATCTTTCTCGAGCCCTGTCTCTTCTTTGCTTCCTACAGGCAAAGGGTGAGAGGTAGATAATGGTATTAATTTTCCAGACATCTGCACATGTTTAAATGGCCTTTTGAAGTCTGAAAGCAGTTTCTCTGTGAGCCCACCACAGGGCTAAAATGCCATTAAAGTATAGATTGCAACAATACATAACAATCATAGCTGTGGCACTCGCTTTGGTGATGAAAAGAAAGCCAATTTATTTCAGTGGAGATTCAAATTAATGTCCGTTTCTACCCAACCAGAGACAGTGCCTCCAGGTTTTTGGAGGAAAATGGTAGGTCTTGGGCTGGCTGAGTCCACCCACCCTTGTCGGTGCATTCAGAAAGTCAGTGTCACAATAGAAGGATTCTGCTCTGCATGCAACATGAGATAGAGGATTGAAAAAGGGAAGCAATTGAGAATATATAACAATTGTCTTTAGTCATGGACTTTATTTGAAGAACAAAAGCCTATTGTTCCTTTTCTCTGGTTGATGCTTTTTGAAAGAGAATAGAGAGAGAGAGAGAGAGAGAGAGAGAGAGAGAGAGAGAGAGAGAGAGAATGAATATGAATCTGTGTGGGGGTGCTGGAGGAGGCCAGAAGAAAGAGTCAGATGCTCTGGAGTTGGAGTTACAAGTGGTTGTGAAGCACCATACATAAGTGCTAGGAACTGAACTTGGTGACTCTGTAAGAGCAGCAAGTGTTCTTGACTGCTGAGCCATCTCTCCAGTCCCTGTGTGATGCACAAAATTAAAGGCATAAGATTCATATGTGAAACTTCCCTGTTGAGTCCAGATAATCCTCTTTCCTTATATTCATTCACCACCTCTAGCTCTTCCAATTTTTCTACCACCTCTTCTGCAATGATCCCTGAGCCTTGGGAGGAAAGGATAAGAAATAGATGCCCTATTTAACATTAAACACACTACAGTCTCATTCGGTGTACACTGAACCAGTTGTGGGTCTCTGTGTTAATTGTCATCTTCTGCAAGAAGAAGGTTCTCCAGTGACAGTTGAGAGACTCAGCAATCTCTGGGTATAACAATAAAACAAAGCAGGATAACAGTAGGCTCTTCTCTAAGGCCTGTGACCTGTCTCTCCACAGACTGTGACTGCATGCACAAGACCTGTATAAGCCCAAGCCAGACAAAACCCCAGCATGGATGGGGTGGTGGGCAGGAAGCCCCGGACCTAACTAAGGATCTCTTGGCAGCTGGTACCTACAGGGAGAAGGAGAACCATTTTTCTTTAAGGGCATAATACCTGGTAGGTTGACTAGACTCTAAGAAATGAATCCATACCCAAGAGCATTTGGGGAACACAAATTAAACTCCCTAGTCCTTAAAAAAAAAAAAAAAAAGGATAATAGCCGGGTGTGGTGGAGCACACCTGTAGTCCCAGCACTTGGGAGGCAGAGGCAGGTGGATCTCTGTGAGTTCAAGGCCAGCCTGGTCTACATAGTGAGTTCCAGGACAGCTGGAGCTACAGGGAGACCCTGCTTCAAAAAGACAAAAAAAATAGGATAATAACAATAGAGTATATGAAACCAGGGTAGAGAATAGAAAGGTAGTGGTAGAGATGGGGGAATGATCAGGATATGATCAAAATACATTGTATGAAATTCTCAGTCAATAAAAATATTTTGAAAAACATAAGATTATAAAGGAAACCAATTTCCATTGTCCCCAGCTATCTACAAAGTATCAGTTCCAAGAGTATCTGCAGAGACCACAATACACAGATGTTCAAGTCCCTTATATTTAATGATTTAATGTTTACATATAACCTGTGTACATCCTTTCTTATACTTCAAATCTCTCTAGATTACTAATAATAGCTGATCCAATGCAAGTACCTTGCACACAAACGGTCTATTATTTAGGGAATAGTAAAGAGAAAAAAATGGTCTGCACATGCTCAGGACAAAGACCATTTTTTTCCAAATACTTTTCAATCCATGGTTGATTGAATCCATGGATAGAGAAGGTTGACTATGTCTTAAAGTACTGTCACCAAAGTATTGAAAATCCATGTGATACAGTAAAATACATACTTCATTAGAAATTATTACATTTTTATTTGTGTTTGTGAGTGCATGCAGCAAGTGCTTTTACTCTGAGCCATTTCACCATCTCACCAGCCCCATGTGCTTTATTTCTAAAGCATAAAATAAATTTTAAAAGGAAGGTCTAATATTATTTTCTTGTTTACTTGGAGTATTTTTTTTTTGTTTGGGGGAAGGTCTTTTGGCTTTGGTTTTTGGGAGGTTTTGGTGGGGGCTGTTTAAGACAGGGATTCCCTGTAGCCACAGCTGGCCTGGAACTCACCATGGAGACTGGAGTCATAGAAATCCTGCCTCTGTCTCCCCAATATGGGGGTTAAAGTTATGTGCTACCACACCCTACTTTATTTATTTATTTATTTTAAAGAACCTGTCCCCCTCCCCCACCACCAGTTTCCCAGATGTTGTGCTGAGATTATAGGCACGCATCACAATGCATAGCTCTAACATAGTTTTTGAATAATTGTGTGTGTGTGAATGTGTATATATAGAGAGAGCTCTAACTAGTTTTTGAATAATTGTGTGTGTGTGTGTTTGTGTGTGTGTGTGTGTGTGTGTGTGTGTGTATAGAGAGAGAGGCATCCCCAACTATAATATCTAAAGTACCTATGATTCCTATTGCAGATAAAGTCATGAGTTTATACCACTGTAGTTTAATGTTTACATGTATAACTGAAGGATATACTAAATTTTAGTTCAGATTTATTGAAACTGAAGACACATGAATCATTTGCAGATCACAAATGTACTAAATGCTATTTATGACCCATTGATCTCATGTTAAGATCTCCTGAGAGGGACTGGGTGGGGGTGACTCAGCAGCTAAAGTATTTGCTTCATGAATGTGCAGACCAGAGATCAGATCCTCAGAACCTAGGTAAATGCTGGGTGGTGGTAGTGCATCTGTAGTCCTAGCCCTTGGGAGGCAGAGAAAGGTTATCTCCAGAGCAAGTTAGCCAGCTAGATTCTGAACCAGTGAGCTTTGAGTTAAAGTGAGAAACCCTGCCTCCATGCTAACATGGAAATCTGTTGGGAAGACACCTGACTTCAACCTCAGCCTTTCATTTGCACATTATTTATGTGCTTGCACACCTGAGCACATAGATGTGCCCACACACTGCAAGCACACATATACCCAGACACACATACCACACACAAGCATAAAAAAAGAATCCCTGAGAATCTGTCATATCTATTTCCCAGAAATCATGAATCTGTGGAGACACAGAACAAGTATTTGTATCATGTCTACCACACAGAATTTAATATGACCTCTAGGAAAGATTCTGGATGGCTATGCTGCATATTGGATCTTATCCCTGACCATGCCCTCACACATCTTAGACCCTGAGCTGTGTTCCCAGGGGAAGGGATGGAGCTTACAGAGACAGCACACTGGCTTTTCTTGGCCTTTTTATCATCCATCAATTGTGGGGCTAGAAACAGCACTGAAAGGTTTGTTTTTCTTCCTCTAGACAGGGCTAGGTGCCCAAGTGTTGGTCCCCTATTGATGTGTGCCTTTTGTGAAGGTCGCCATGTAAATAGAACTGCCTCATTATTTGAATCTATATGTGTGTGTTCTCAGTGTTTTGGTCTAGACGTGTGTGGAAGTCACAGGACAACCTCAAGTATGAGTCCTAGCCTTTTGCCTTGTTTGAGACAAGGTCTCTTGTTCACTTCTGAGCACACAAAGCTAGCTGCCCTGTGAACTTCTGGGGATTTCCTGTCACTACTCATCTCCCCATAGGAGCACCAGGATTACAGATATGTGTGCTACGGTGACTGGCTCAACAAGCACTTTATCAGCTAAACCCAGAACCTGCTTGGTTTTTTAAAATTATTTTATTAAGCTGGGTTACATAATGCCATTTTCATGCATATACATAATTTACTTGGAGCGCTTTCCCCTTTCTTGCTACATTCCTTCTGTTAGTCTTTTTTCTCTCATACCATGTTGCTTCAACTTTCATGTCATCCACAGATATGGTTTTATGACTCTCTATAAAATCTAGGACTCATAAATGAGAGAAAATGTGATATTTGTCTCTACGAAAATGACTCAATTCACTTAATATGATCGTCTCCATCTGCATCCATTTGCCTGCAAAAGATACACCTTCACTCTTCTTTATGGCTGGAAAAATATTCCTGAGATAGATAGATAGATAGAGAGAGAGAGAGAGAGAGAGAGAGAGAGAG